GCGGTCACCGCGTTATTACGGCCACTTTTTTTGGCCGCCTGGCAAAAAACGCCATACATTTTCTTGCAAAAAAACCCTCGTTAATACGGCCAAAGTTTTTTCGGCCCATTGGTGACCGTATTAACAGGGTTCCACTGTATAATCAATCGGCTCGCACAGCTTTGGTTTCTGTGCTCCTCCTTACGTCGAGCTAATGAGACAGGCGACATTCCTGTGGAGGAACTTCGAGCAATAAGAGTGATCTAGTTGACTAGTAGTAGTAGCACTCAATAGTAACTCCCCTTGTGGCTTTTCAGTCACTATTTACAAGAAAAAAAAAAAAGGAAACATATTAAATTAAAATTATAGTACAAAAAATATATGGTCCTTCATTAAGTTTTAAAGTCTTAATGAGGAGCAAGCTTTTAAATTGTCATCTGAGTTGTTCCAGATATTAACAGCTCTGTGAATTAATGTTCGCTGACCAGTAGCCGTTTTAAACACTGCTATTTCAAGGGTATCACGCTTGCGGGTAGCCAGGTTATGGATGGTGGATCGTTTCCGGAATTTATCCCATAAATAGGTAGAAGCGAGGTTGTTTACACAATAATATGCCATAGCCGAGCCTCTCAGATATAAAAGAGCCAGTTGAGCTGGCGCAAAAGCGGAGTGACATGATAATCCTTCCTGGAATTGGTAACAATTTTGCACGAGAAATAGTAACTGAAGTTTCTTCACATTAGAAGCAGATGTGTTCGACCACAACGTAGAGCAATAAAATATCTTACTGAAAACAAGTGAGTGTTTTTGAATCAAAACTATAATAGTTGATACGGTTGACTCGGTTGACCGTTAAATTAATGAATGAGGCTGAGTATCTTACGAAGAATTATGGAGATCGAGGAGGGCGTTATCCGTCGAGGCCGTAGGCTGAGGCGGATAATACCCTCCGAGATCTCCATAATTCTTAATATGATAAGAAAGCTGAATTCAACAATTGTTTTATTATTCATTCAAAACAATTCTTAGTTTAAAAACATGGCTAACACATGCTTACCTCCACCGATCCATCGATGTTAAGTTCATCTTCGATAGTGCACGTTTAGGGTTGTTTAGCTCCGCAAATATTATCCAAATAGCAGATGTCGCCCTTCGAGTTGTCTTCTTGCTGTTCTTGCCATGTTTTTAGTTATTTTTTCGCCTAGTTCTTACTCTTGAAACGAGTGAAATGTCCGCCATTTTTCAAGTCCACAACCAAAACAACTCAACCTCGTCCCCAGGTCTTCTCGGTTGACGGTGCAAGAACGCTGCATTTTTGACGTCATTTCCTCGCAAAGCACAAAATTCTTCCAAATTTGGTCATCAGTAACTGGTTATGGTGAATTAAACGTGTGCTTTTAGCCAATCAGAATCGGGGAAATATTTTGAATGAATATTAATCAGTGAGATAAGTGGGGCTCTAAGATGATAAGATGACATCCAAGTCTTTGGCTCAAGTAGCAGGTTTAAGAGATTTTCCCAGAAAGGACACAGACAAGTTCTCGGGTAGTCTTCCTAAAAGTTGCCTGGATTCAACCAAGAGGAAGAGCTTCGTTTTGGTTGGATTTATAAGATGATGATTTTCACAGCACCAAGTTAAGACTCGATGTAAGTCTTCCTCTAGTTTCGTGACTGCTGTGTCGGAATCTGAGAGGAAAAACGATAGATCGTACGTAGTTTGAGAAGCAAAGGCGAAGGTCATTCATATATATGCAGAAAAGTAAAGGTGAAAGAATTGCGCCTTGTAGCACACTATGGGAGACTGGCAGGGGGTCTGAAAGGGTGGAATTTATGCGAACGAACAGTGAGCGGTCGGACAAGGTGAAGGTGACGCGCCGATCTGTGAAAATTTCTGAAGTAATCTGCGATGGTTGATGCTGTCAAACGAATTCGAGAGGTCGAGCAATATCAGAGCAGTAACTTTCTTGTTGTCCATTCCTTCCAATATGGCATCCGTAGTATGAATATTGAGAGTTTCAGTAGAGTGTGTTCTGTCGCACTTTGTTATACCTGTCACACTTTGTAATAAAAAAGCTGTCGCACTTTATAATAAACTTGAAATGGACGGTCGAGGACAAGTAAACCCAATAACAAGAATCATAATCGACAACAACAACAATAATAAGAATAATAAAAATCACAATAACAATAATAATTGTTTATTGTCATTATTATGGAGGATATTTCATGATGATGATTATTTATATTGGCCACTCACAAAACCCGGTCACAACAATAACACAGAACCATTTATGGTAATGATCTAGGCATAACTTGATTGACACAATGACGTAATTTGATGTCATTATGAAGTCATGTTCAATTTATTGGCAAAATCCAATTCTATAATTTTTCCTTCAAAGCGAAAATTTAATAAATCGGCCACAATTTTCCATGGTTTACACTCTTATAGACCATAGAAATGACGTCATAGAATGTTCAACACTCAAGTGGAACCACGAGCCGCAGGCGAGTGGTTCACTGCAAAGTTTTGAACTTTATCATACTTATGCTTATTACAGTATTGGGTTTACTTGTTCTCCGACCACCTATTCCAAGTTTATTACAAAGTGCGACAAGTGTTATTACTAAGTGCGATAGGTATTACAAAGAGAATGTAAGTCAAGTGTAGACTGGAGAACGATGTTGAAGACGTCATCGCCAACAAAAAATGAACAGTATTGGCCCGAATTGTTACTAGCAAGGCGAGCATAAAAAAGGTTCGGCGAATAGTTCTTGTTGCTACGCGCTGAGATGGTGTAAGGGGTAGCTTTAATAGGTTTCAGCTTGAGCACAGCATAAACTGGTAAATGATAGCTGATTGGTGCATTTATTACGCTGTGCACTAAAGAGGTCGAGGGGACCAGGATAACGTCTAACAAGGGCTGAGTGGAGTCAGTTTACACTTCTCCTATAATATGTTGAACGCTTTAGATCAATTCTATTTACTTGTGTGAAGAATTTCAGTGATTTGAAAATCGGGTGTATACCTAGATAAAAACTCGCATCAAGGATTCCTAAAGCCTGTTTCCATATAATTTGTAACGGTCTGGGGTTTTCTGCGAAACTGTCACAGGTTAACTACATCAGATGGTATCCCACGAGATCACCACAAACAAACGTTCCCATCTGGAGTTAGCGATCACAGACATGCCATATTTGTTTCACTTGATTTTGTTGTGAAAATAGCGCAAAGCATTTTTCTCATCTTTAACTGGACACGACATGTGTCCGAGCACTCAGACCGTATGTCGAAGAACGTTGCAGACGCCAGGCCAAATGTTTTCTTCGGTCCCTTCGACGAGACGCAGAACGGTCGCTGATCCTGTCCAAGAAGATCGTCGCAGTGACGAGACCAAAACAGATTATACGAAACTTGTACATGGAAACCGTGCATCAGGATTACAGGAAAAAGTTACATATTATGGTTTCCACACTTCATCCTTAGATAGATTTTATACTTTTGAAATACTTACATGAGAAAAGAGTGCATGTCCTCTTTACATGGGCATATTCCCCCTGAGACCATGAAATACACTTTGTCTTCTGGTTTCATACGTTTTCTGGAACTTACACTAGAGAATGTTACTTCTTTTTTCTCGAGCTTCTCTTCCAAGCTACGTTGAAGGTGGTGAGGGCAACACATAAGAATCAGAATATTGTGGCGGTTTGGAGGTAAGTAAGCGAAGAAGTATGCCATTATGCGAACACGCGAATCATTTTTGTAACGATTAAAAGCACTGTCCTGGCTTCTGTGCCTCTCAACGGTAACAGCGAATCTGAAACAAAATGAGAGAAAAAGGGCCCTTGTAAATGTGAATGTCAAAGGACCAAATTCAACCATCAACACTCCTTTTGAAATTATCAATTTGCAGAATTTTTCAGGCAGAAGAGTTGGAAAGAACACAAAGGCAGAAAGAGTGCAAGTGCAAAGAATTTGTTTACAAACAAGTTGCAGTCAATTAAACCCCGTTTTACGGACACTCGCTTAATATGGACAGCTTGCTTTGTCCCTGGGGAAAGGTGAAGAAAGCCCTTTCATTTTCTCTAAATTCAACCCGCTTTATACGGATAGGACACCCCTTTAATAAGGACACTTTGTATGGCCCCTTCAGAGTCCGGATCACGACAAAAGAACGAGCGTTGACCTTAAGCAACAAAAAGTGCATGACTTATTCTTCTTCCATTTCAAAATATAACAAAGTCTTGACGGGTAGCTCAGGCAACCTTGCATCGATTCTAATGCTTAATTTAACGTGACGCAAGTTATAATTAGGTCGGAATCTCAGACTAACTGCAAAATGGTTGAGATACGTTCGTCAAAAAACCCGCACTTTCTTAGTAGTGCGCCTCGTTCGAGAAAAGATCTTCCCAAGGAAACAGAACCTTCGGCCCCATGTTTCAAAGTTTTGTGATTGAAGGTTTTGAATTCGGCTCGATTTTCAGCCGTTTGTGCGAGTACAGTTTGCATACTTGCCCTGGGTGGGGTACTCCCTATAATGGTCCATACGGGAACGCTCCGCCCGAAAGGAATACCTTTTTCAGGCTTAAGGTATATGAAAGGGTAGGGAAATCTGTCTTTTCGGTCTGTGAAAGGGCCTAAAGGGCTAACAGATGAATCTTCTGGCTTTATATAAAGTCGAGAAAACGTTCTATTTTTGTGGTTGATTCCTATTTAAAAGAAAGTGCATTTACAGCAGTTAAAAGTTATGCAACGTTCTAAACAAGGTATGTGAAAGGGGTACCATTTCTCAATAGAAGGTATACGAAAGGGGTACCTTTTTCGTGAAAAATTGCATATAAAAGGGTAAGGGGTTGGACCTCGGGGCGGAGCCTCGCCGTATAAACATTTGTTGAGTGCCACCAAACGGCAGGTAGACGAGCCTTCTTTTGGACGTTGAATCGTTGCAATTTTGATAACAAGGCAGAGGAAACTAGGATGTAAAGGTACACTGTCTCAAGCATCTTGCAACTAGGTGTAGCTATTTTTTTTTTTTTTTTGCATACTTGAAAAAGTTTTCAACCTGGAACCAAACGAACGCCCCATCAAAACTTGCGGGTTTTCGAAGATCGCTGTGGATTTCATCCCAATCTCCTTGGTCCCCCGGGGTTTTCTGAACCAGTACTCTCCCAGCGCATTCAAGGATTTCTGAAATTCCAGTTTCTCCTTTCGGATTGATTTCATGCCAATCTCCATGGTCACCAGCGGATCTCTGACACAGTACTCTCACACGGCATTCAGAGATATCTGAAATTTCCAGTTGCTCGTGTCGAAGAGAAATTGGTAACTGAATTGTGACTGGCTTCGAGAAGGTGACCTTCTGTGAGCAGATAATTCGTAATATGGGACCAATAAACACGTCATGTCTTTCAAATTCTTCATTTTGAACTTCTTGGACCTGTTGGATCGGGATGTTAAGAAAGACTGAGTTCTATCAATCATCTGATAGTACACCCGGGCTTAACGACAAGTATTTTGTTTACTAACAATATACGCTTACTTGGTCGTATTTCAAATATCAATAAGATTAAGGTGATTACTAAAAAAGCATAAGGAAATACTCTAGTGACAGTCAAACGATAATAATGGCCTTGTCATAGACGTGCAAATAATTTGCCCCTGACTCGGTTGTTAAAGAACATATAAATACGCTTCTGTCCGCACAAATTGTCACTTGAAAAGAAAAACATCCTTGCAGCCCAAATCTGAGGCCACATTATTCGACCTATTCGACTGTTGCCTTGCCATCGTGATGGTTCTAGTAGGTACAGCATATCAGAACAGAGTACAGTATTGAGTAAAACTGAAGAGAAAAGCCCTTGAAATACCTTATTCAACCCTATCCTTTTCGTTGGGTCCACTTTCACAAACACAAGGCTAGTTGTAAGCCCTTGGATATAGAAAAAAAGTCGCTTGTGCAACGCTTGCAGGTCAAATGCGTTCATGCATTTTAAGTTTCGTCCTCTGGTTTAACTTAGTTAACATACAGTCACACGAACCTTTAACTTCACAGAGAGTTCTGTTTCACTTGCAACAGCATTCTCAGGAATTGTCACTTTCACGTCTGGATAATCAGGATGGTCGATGGAACAACCATAAGATGTGATGGTATAAGAAGGAGACGACTTAAGACGGCAAACCACTGTGTATGTAGAGCACTCAGTTATGTCAGCTTGTGCAACAGGAAAGTGAAAAGTAGAAAAATCCAAGTTGAAGGGGTATTCATCTTCAGTGTCTGTAATAAAAAAACAAAAATTTACAAGTTAGTATCCACTGACTCAAGACTCATGTTTTAGTTGCAAGGTTTGAAACTCAAAGTTTTTGTTGAGGACATATGGAAAGGGGAAAACGAATACCGAAATACTACAGGGTAACAAAGATTGTAAGGAGTTTCTGAGAGCGGCGGTCCTAATCCGCAGATCACAGGTCGCAGGTCGCAAATTGCAGGTCACAAGTCACAGATGGAAAGTTTCTCAATGGAATAAAAAAAACCGTCAAACCTGGTTTATCTCGTAAGTCCTTAGTTCCTTTTACATCTTCCCAATCATTGCTCTTGCCAATCTGCTTTTTTATAACCACTTCATAGCCACGTAAGGCCGGCGCACTATGACATAAAAACAATTTCACTGCGACATCGAATTCAAGAGGTTGGCCAGTGGAAGTGGAAATTTCAATAACATTGCTAACAATGGCCTCATTTTCCTCAAGTCTTGGTGAACAAGCACTGCGTTTCCAGTTGTGGATCACTACTGATGTGGGCTGAGAGAGAGCATTAGGAGGGAACATCAGATAGACAGCCCCCTTAATTATGTCCAAATGGATGCCTTCGCTTGTCACTGTTGCCCTGCAATCAATCAGTTATTAAATCAGTTGATCAGTTAATCAATCCATTAAGTCAGTCAGCCAGTCAGTAAAAACGTACTTAGAAATTAAACTAGTAGTTCAAGTAGTACTAATCGATCACAATAAGCAAATTAAACTAAACGATTAAATGATCAAAAGCACGATTGAAGCACTATATGAAATCCTTAACAAGTTCTTAGGCGGCGGCTAAAGCAAATAGACTGCTTGCAAGCCGCTTTTTCTCTTAAGATCTCTCGAGTTCTCATCCCAGCCAGTGCGTTTGCAAACAACAACGTTTATGAAAAGCTCTTCACTATAACCTAACATGTAGCTAATTAGAGATCCAACCTTAAGATCTATAAGGCTGCATCTGTGAGCATTCTTAATGTTAAATATAAAAATTGCATAATTGCAATTACGGTAATTATAAAAAAGCCCATAAAGCTTAAAACAAATCATTCAGTGTAACCAAAACTCGGGAACAGCTTTCGTTGAGATGTGAAACTTGGCGGCAACCCTTTAACTTTCATGAACAGTTTTTTAAATTTTTTAAAGTTAAGTTAATTGATTTACACGCATAAGTCGGGAGGAAGTTAAGAATTCAACCTTGTACTCACTCGTATATTTTTGTTCTAGAAGAGTGTTCTCTTGCTTCTCCTAAAGAATACAGTATTAATAATAGTTAGTCGTAAAGCCTTAAAATACCCGACCTATCCAATCGAACAGTTCGGCAATCGAACCCAATCGAAGACCAATCGTTCGATTGCTGAACTCAATCGAACATAATCGAATTCACAATAAAATTTTGCCAATCGAACACAATCGAACGTTCGATTACCGAACGATTGGTAATCGAACCCAATCGAACGTTCGATTACCGAACGATTGGTATAATCGAACGTTCGATTAACGGACGCCGCATCGCATGATCTGTTACGCTGGCGACTGCTCTCCTCGTCTCCACGTCACTCTTGGCCACTCTGGAGAACCTGGAGAGAGTAATGGCTGCAGCGAGGTCCCTTCTGCTTATTATAATACTAATTTTAAACACAACTGCCTGTGTTGCTGTTGTTGAAATGGTGCGATTTTTCTCTGTTGAGAAGCATTTCCTTTTAACAGTCACAGTACCTTAACAGTCATCGAAATTGCCTTTTATTTGTTTTGTTTTGTTCGAACATTGACATTCTTGCAGTATGATGTTCAGTTCCTGTTTATTCAATAAAAGCTGACAATGATTATATTCCACGTGTTTTACTCAGTTTGAGGCGTCAAGAGACAATTGCATCGGATTAATTCGATTTTGTTCGATTTTGTTCGATTATATTGGTTCGATTGGTTCGAAAATCGAACTCACAGCAAAATAGGTGTTCGATTTTGTTCGATTGCCCAAGCCAATCGAACGATTGGAGTTCGATTGGGTTCGATTGGTTTTTTGTTCGGTTTTGTTCGATTGGATAGCTTGAGCTTGTCGGTAACTGATTAGATACCTAGAATATATATCACATTAAAGCATATGAAAGTTTTTGAGCTTCTTATCTAAATATTTCAACCAGTTTGTAATCAGTGAATGAATTATCGAATCTCCCACGATTTCTAAATGCGAGCGTCTCAATGAGATTTTTTGAAAGCTATTAACCCAAAACAAATATTTCATTTCATCGTTTAAGGGACTAGACTTTGCCTGTTTTTTGTCAACTACTAGTTTCGAACAAAAAATGGAAAAAGATTAACGCTTTATATTGACAACATCATCACTTTGTAACAATCTCGAACATCCAGGGTTAACTTAAAAATCAGCTGGCGGCTGATTTACCTGAATGCAACCCGTCGATTCGACTCACTCAAAATCGGCTGCCCACAGTCTTCGTTTGAAGAAGTTACAGTACTAAAGGAGTAGTCTAAAATGGCGCGACCTATATCTCGTCCATTGATTTTTTTTTTCCTGGGGGCTCAGGACCAAAGAGCTAAAAAATATGTGGGAAATCAACAACAAGGCGAGCGGGAGCCCAGTCCAATGCTTGTCTCGTTTCTCCCCTCACTACAGAGCCTCAGGGGCCCGTTTTTCGAAAGTCCCGGTAGCTTTTCGGGCCCGAAATCAAATATTCAAATCGAAATATAAATAATAAGAACGCGGGTCCAGGCTAGCACATCATGTTAGATGCAAAACTATTCAAACCTCGATCTTTAATGTAAAGGGACACAGCTTAACGGGCCCGTTGATTATCGGGACTTTCGAGAAACCGGCCCCTGTGGTACCAGGCACTAAAAGCTTTGTCAATCAATTTTAAAACTCATGACCTCTATTTACTGCACTTTTCAAAAACACGCGAATTCTAAAGTTCAAAAGCCAACTGACGTTTGCGTTTTTCGGTGCCCTCACAGAGGATCATCTTAGAGGAACTCTTGGGAAACAGAGGTCTACTTCAACGGGTTCAAAAGGTCATGGTTTGTGATTGTTGAATTTCGATCTGTTTCGTGTGTTCCCGTGTTTCAAGGTTCGTCGCTTGTGATCGTACTTTTGATTGACGGCAGCGAAAAACAGTTTTGAAGGCGGCGGTTTTGAACTTCAGAGTTCGCGAGTTTGTGAAAAGCGCAGTAAGAGAGAACTGGTCTTCGCTATGACTAAAATGTTAAGGAGTCAAATACAAATTCGCTTTACCTGCAACGCGTGGGCCATTAACGGATGTGGTGAAAGACGAACCAGATAATGAACCTGAATCATCGCTTAAACTCCCATCTTGTGATCCAGATGATGATTCAGTCCCAAGGGACGAGCTCTCTGATGACTCTTGGAGTTCATCCTGCCAGATATTACAATTAAGATGGAATCCATCAGGAAATTGAGTAATTTTAATTGTTATTGGACAAGTTCCAGAAGAATTTAAACAATATCGCACTCTTTTTTCATTTTTCAAGGGTTATAGATGCAATCAGTTACCTGTAACTAACTATGACACCAAAGAAAATTTCTTATGAGAGCCCGAGAAAATAAGTGTCAAATTTCACAAAATGTTATCTTAAACAAGAAATTTTCAGAATTTTACCTGTGTTTTCACAATTCTTGTGAATTGGACATTTATTTTCTCGGGCTCCCATGAGAAATAGTCTTTGGTGATATTACAGATAACTAATTATAGCTATAGCCCTTGAAAAATGTAAAAAAGAATGCGATATTGTTTAAACTATTCTGGTACAAGGTTTTTGTCTACTGAAAAAAAACATTATTCAATTTCCTGATGGATTCGGTGTTAATAATTTCCACTAAGAAAATTAGCAAGTACAATACATTTAAAATAATTTCAAAAACCTTTATTTGACTCCAAAACGCCTAGAAATGATAGGTGAAAGTATTTCAATGTACGATTAACGTAAATAACCATCTCCAAATGAAAACGTGATACCACTTGCCGCCTACTTGTCAGGCCTGACAGGCCGAGAGTGTGTTGGCTAGTTCGCTTCGGTTCTCCGAATTCTGAGACGATGCAATTTTCCCATAAAGTTGTGTTTGAACACTAATCAAGGTATGATAATAACCTCTGCTTCGTTGTCCTCTAATTGGGACGACGGTCCTCTTTCTTCTGGTTTGAGGTTTCCATTTTCTTCCTGCCACAAAAAATAAAACTTGGTAACATCACTTATCAACACCTTGCATAGCCGTACTGTTTGACGCAAGTGGCGGGGGGCATAAAAGCTTAAGCTAGGGACCTGCCTAAGCTTACTGTCATGACGAGTACTCTAACTTGGATGGGGTTCATTGAAAACGACACAAAGTTGAAAGTTTTAACAGCACAGTACAGTAGGAAAAGCCTGACCTCATTTGAATGTTTCGAGGAGCTGCATCTCAGAAGAGTTTGAAAAGTTATTACATTTTTTGTCTGCTTTGACTCGGTTTTTTAATGAAGCTTTGAGACTATAGCATCTGGTTTAAAATACGTGAGCTCGTAGGCTTTTCCTAGCCTGAGAAAACAGCCCACATTTGGATGTAAAGAAAGGAGTAAGAAACAAACAGACTCCTTTGAAAGAAAAGTACATTTCCTTACGTTTTACATTTCCGTGTTAAAATTTCGACAGGTCAAGAACATCTTTTTTGTTTATGGCCAATCATCGTGTACAAAGCTAATTGCGTGATCTGTTTGTTGGCGCCTAGTTTGATGCGCACAGAGATGACAACTACTAGGATTTGGAGTAAATATGCCACCAGCGTGACGGTTTAATAAATGATAAACATTGAATATACAGAAACTGTAACTTGTTAGATCTCAAACATCAAAGGTGGGGGAAAAACCCGCCAAAACATCATTACGAAATGACCCAAAAAACAGCCGGGATGGAGTACCGGGGAAGGCGGAGGGAAAATTGAGTCAAAGACTGACGATGTTCCTGCGTTGCTATCTGAACCAACAATGAATCACAAAGCATTGATTGCATGATTTGAGCCTGCAAGGAATTCTAACTATTTCCCTATCTCCATCCCAGATGCAGATAAGACAAACAACCAGGAAATTAGCCCTTCACAAAAATTTCATTAAGCCATTAGCTTAATGGGTGTTTTTCAGAGGTCTAACCCAAAATAGAGAAAACTATCGCTTAACAACATTCTATGTAGTAGTGGGTTTTTATTAAGCGGCTTTATTTGCTGTTGTGTTTAATTTTCACCAGTGAAGTCAATACTGTTTTGTCTATTTTCATTCACGCACTGCCTGAATTTGCGATTTTCAGCCTCTTTCAGGGAAACATACGTTTTCCTTCGTCCCCAGTGCGGTTCATTTTCACACATTTTAAAGCCCTAAGGTGCGCTTTTGTAACAATCTCCTGGCCACACCTTGGGACTTAATTTGCAGCTTTTCGGACGAAAAATTTTAAATTCCCGAGACTAAAGGGGGGACGGGCACGCTTAGAATTGACTGAGCCATAAAGCTGGCGGTTTACACGCCCTGGGCCCGATTTTGTAAAGTATACAAATAGTGAGCACAAAGATCAGCCTGATTACCATTTTAGCCTTC